ATGTTTAGTTAAACTCCACGTTGCTTCGCTGTACGCAGCCACTAACACGTGCCTACGGAGGGGTAAAATTTCATAAATCTAATTAAGAGAATCCCATCATATTTCTGCTCGTGATCGGAATTAAGTTTGGCTATTTATAATAATATATAATCAAGTTAACCGAAAACATTTATTACTTAGTCTCGATCGAATGAAAAACTCTGAGATTATTTTCAATAAAAAAAATGTGCAATAAAACCATTTAGCAGGTAGCCAACGTTTGAGTTTAATTTCTCGTTAATGCGTAATTGGAAAAATCGAAATGCAGGAAAACATTAATATTTGAATCTTATCGGTGAAGCGTTTTGATTACAAGCCATGAATTTTATGATATGCATCATGAAAAATCTGGTCAAATGTGCAGTCGAACTGTGTACTTAGGCTTACGAGCTGATTGATTTATTGCTATTTCTTATTGGAGGCTGATGACCGCTACAGTGCAGTGGTAGGTACTGCTTGTTGCGCCAGATATTATAAAATCAATCTTCGTGCAAAATATATATCTATATGGTTATGATGAGGAAGGTTTTCGTAGTAATTAATAGTAAACTAGTAATAACTAAACTCTATTTATATAGCGCGGGAAAATATCTCATTTCTGAGAAAAATTACAAAAACTGTAATGTAAGAGTTATACTAATATGTAGGTAAAACCTAAGTATTTGGTCATCTGATCGCGGGCGGAGCCGCGGGCAATGCTAGTAAGATATATGTATGTATGGCGGAAAGCTTTCCAAATAACTTACCAACAATATGAGACACATTCTTGGATAATCTATTTTTAACACAGCGTTGTCAGTGTGGACAGTCATTACTCTTTTATTAGGCGCCGAGGAAATAGGGCAGTTCTTTGAACTTTCTTACGCTTATCTCAAGGATCCACTTGTTCTAACGCTAGGTCAGACCTGTGCTGAGTGACGCATGGTGACCGCCGTGACGTCGTCGCTCGCGTGCCAAATGAACGCGACCCGGTAGTCGGTACTACTAACTGATCAGTTGTGTTTCTCCCATCGGAACGAGCGTACGCTTAAAGTTTTTTCTATCAAGAAAATAGTTAAGTGTACCATAACAATGTTAAATTCTAAATGAGTTTATACAAACAAAAGCCTTAATTTTAAAGTTTAATTTAATAAACGCTAATCAAAAGTTGATCGGACTGATCGTATCGTCTTTGTTCATAAATAAGACTGTCTTCGAGTGCAGTGATGAGATAGCGGTGTATGTTTACATGTGATGGTGTTTCGTCGGACGTAGTGTTATGGTCAAAATGGGCATCATAATAGGGACCTGTGTGCCGGACTCGGAGCCTGACTCGGCGGCGTACGGCGCTCAACTGAGACGACCCCCCAGGAGGATACTATATGGTAATTAATGTGGATAATTGAGTTTGTGATTTTGCTTAGTCCTTGTTAGTTATTGTGAAACATGTTTTTATGTAAATACATCCTAATCAACTTTTTTTGGATGATATGTTGTTACAGGTTAGATAGCACGTTATTATATACTATTTTGAATAAAAAATTAATATAAAATAATTTATATTCACAATAGTATTTGGTGATTTTTAAATAGAATGCCGATTTTTATAATAAAGAATTTGTAAAATATAATCTTAAGATATATAATGGAAGGTAAATTATACCTTGAGGTTGTCAAAGCACCTTCACTAAGCCCATTAACGGTGTTTAATTACGCTTACTCAGTACGTACTTGGGAATCTTAATCTCTACGCTGCTCAACAAAAAAAGCCTGACGTCCGACTGGAATCCACCTCGACTCCAAAAAAGGCTGGCGAGGTAAAAGGACCATATACTAAAGCCATATGTGAGTGGTAATTAGCCATTGGATCTCTGAGCACGTAACTGACGGACGAATCGTTTATTATCGTATTACATACGGTAAGTTTTTAATATAGTATGTGTATGTATGTATTTTAAATATTCACAGTATTAAGTTTTTATTGATTATCAAATTTTCATTTTCTATGAAACTATAGTTTTTATTTTATTTTTTATTTTGTCTGTAGAAAATGTTTAATGCATTTGCGAAAAGTTTTGGTGTTAACAGTTCTGAATGTTATGCTCATTAATTTTGATGGGAAATCATAAAGAGGTAAATATAGTTTATCCTCCTTTTTGGATAAATTTAAATTACAAGTATAATACGAGTAATATTAAATCTATAAATATTTTATTCAATGCGACAGGCTGAAGTGAGACTTTCAAGTTTCAAGGGTACCGCCGCGTGGCACGCGATCACTTGTTGATTATTACAGAACATTCGACGCCAGAATACGATATTAAAAATTTTAGCTACCTGACTTTTTCGTAAACTGTAAAAATAAACAACTAAATGAACGACTTCATCGCAAATGAAATAATATATAAAGTAATGAGTCTTCACGGACGGTTACAATTGACTCATGAGGAAAAAACTAATCACAGCATAATGAAATAAACCCAGTAAACAACGTTTATGTCATTTTAAATCATAATAATAACTAAAGCATTATATTATATGTACTACCTACTAGCGATTCGCCCTAGCTTCGCTTGGGTTCGTTCCTATGCATGTTCTAATGGTTAATATGGAATAGATAGATATATATACATATCCCTTACTTTAGAAATGATCGATTCTCCGTACAAACTTTCATCATTTTCACCCCCTTAAGGGATGATTTCCGGGATAAAAACTATCCTATGACCTTCTCAGGGTCTCAAACTATCTCCATACCAAATTTCATCTAAATCGACAGCCAGACAGAAAGACAGACAAAGTTTTTCTCGCATTTATAATTAGTATGAATAATTAAAAGAATTTCTTGGTAAATTCTCATGCAGGTGACCAAGCGACCATTGTTGCATGCATAAGTGTTTTTACAACTATTTTAGCAAAAAACAGTGCAGAAACCGCATAAAGAATCAAAAGACTTCTTTTGTTTCATTTTCAGCTTATACTAAGAAATATTCTTTCTAAACTGGTAGTATACTTTTAGCTTTCAATGACGAACTAAACTTTAGTTGTATTTTGAATTTAGATTAGGTATGAAGATAGTTTGAGACCCTGAGAAGGTCATAGGATAGTTTTTATCCCGGAAATCATCCCTCAAGGGTATGGCTATCATTTCTCATATATATATATATATATATATATATATATATATATATATATATAATCATCATAAACTTTATAGTCAATTTTTTGCCTCTTCGGCTTGTGCAATTCGGCAGATTATTGAATTGGACACTTTTCAGGATGTGACTAGCCTACCACACCTTAATCTGACGGTTTCAAGTATTTCTACCTTATCAAAACATTTTTTAAATATTTTAATCGGCTTCCCTAGACGCGCCCCTTTATATAGAAGACTTATATTATGGTGAAAGTACTCAATAGAGTGCAAGGTAACCTCTTTTATGTTAATCTGCCGCGCTCGAGTAACTACAGAAAATCCCCTCTTGGGCTCCCCTACTATAAAAGGTAGACTATTAATTTTGGCGGTTACAGAGGTCAAGCTTTATCTTTCTACGCTACCGATTGTAGGTCGAAATGTTTTAATTTAAAATTAATTTACATTAACTTAATTAATTTATTCATAGTTTAATCATTTACTGGGCTTTCCAGATTGTTTTATTTTTCTTCAATATTTATATAGTTTATATGTTAACATAATAACCAAATACACACTATTTAAATAACAATTTATTACACGAGCTCCCGGTCATTATTAGATACACAGAACATACTCGTATGTCACTCTTGAACCTCCGATATATAATCTCCATACAAAAATTTACTATGCAGGAATTTCATAATAACGTAGCTCCATTCAAAAATAGACATCAATCCGTCGAACAAACAAACACACAACTTATTTCACACTAACAATATGGATTTCATAGATCCAAATAAAAAAAAATCACTAATGTAAATAAATCAATAAAATCAATAATGTAAAACTAATAAAACACCTTTGTAACTGCGCATTAGTTTTTTCTCTATATTCGTCGATTGTTTGTTAAGAAGTATGAAAAGTCACGTTTCGCTTCATGTTATCTAATTGTGACCTGATTTTTATAATAATATTTTTATAACCTCTTTATTATATGATATGTATTGTATCTTATTTTAAATTACAACGTATTTTTAACGGCGACTTAATTTGTACTTACCCAAGCTTAAGGTGAGCTTTAAAAAGAAGCTTTTTAAAAATTACGAACTAACGACTTGTCTAGAGCTATAACAGCGTATTTTAATAACAATATTTTGTTTTAAACAAAAACTCTGTCGAAGAAAAATATGAGAACTCTAAATTATAAAAATTTTCAACTATTCTCCAACAGTCAAAAACTGACAACGGATTGGTATTTTATGAAGAATTTATTTATGGCGTATTTTTGACACCTTAAATAAAGTAATTAATATAGTAAATATATAACGAAAGAAAGTTATGTCATAGTTTACTTAAGAATAAATTCCTTACTACTTCAGATTAAGTTTTTTCAAATCTTTCTTTTATTATCATTCGCTTTTTTTATGAAATATGTTTATCACAAGCTGTCATAAATATTATATCGAGATAAGTGGATTCTGTAATTTTATTAAGGTTACAGTCAAATAACATTATAATATACATAGTTTTACGACATGATAATACTTAACACCTTCAGGTAAATTTCTAAGAAATTAATTGAATTCTAAGAAATCTATTGTTAACTGTAACGCCGGCGTGTCCGCTGTCGTTGAGGGAATAATACTTATCTTTGCTACAGTAATGAAACTAAATAATTAGTTAGAAACAACTTAGTCTATTTTAAATTAATAGAAAAATTTCTGAAACCTCTACATAACGATGTTGTATTAATAATACTTGTATTATAAACCCCACAAATAAGTCTCTATATACGATAGGGAGACATAGAGACAAACTCCGGTTTTTGCACTCTTGATCTTGCTTATGACTTAGAACGCAGTAAATCCAAATCTTTTAACATGTTCTTTGGTACTCCGACGTAAAAATATAAGGATTCTGGTGTAGATTTTACATCGTCTGTTTTCGATACTTGTGATGGGAGGACAGATTGAGATAAGAGTTTTGTGTTTGAGGACTCCATGGGGCACATGTTGCAAAGTGACATAGGAAAAGCTGGGATACAGGGCATGCTTACACAGGCTGGCTTAGGTTTGCAATGGGGTTTTGGAGTGCAAGGTCGTCGAGTAGTAGTCGTTGATGTTGTGGTCTTTTCAGTAGACGTGGTGATAACTTGATGCAAAGGTTTAGGACTAGGATCACATGGTTCTTCAGACACTTGTGGTATACAATCCTCTGAAAAAGATTAATAACAGCTTCACTCGCATGTACATTTTTTTTAGTTTGTATTGTTCATCCCTAGGCTGCTTCCTCATACAAACTTTCATCCTCCTTTTCACACCCTTAAAGAATGAAAAAAGTATCCTATGTCCTTCCCAGGGTCTCAAACTATCTTCTTACCAAATATCGAATCAGTTCAGTAGTTTCGGAACCTATTCGGTACAAACAAAAAAACAAAAAAATCTTTCCTCTTTATAATATAAATATAGATAACGCTCATTTTATACAGAAGCGTATCATTTAATCTGATGGAATTATTAAAATTAAATTTAATGTTTTTATTACAGTCTATTACTTATTCAAAATGGAAGTACGAGTAGGTTTTAATTTAATCCTTCCAAATGAAAAATGAATATATTCTTAATATAAAAAACCATTTTTATGTACACTTTATTAATTTTACGTATATATTTAACTTGTGCTTTCGAAATTCATTCATTCAGCTTTCCAGTTAAAACTATTTGACTCTCTTTAATTTCGTTTCCAATAAAAAGTTACAAATTATTTGGTAATATCGATCCTCCTATACATTCGACGACTCTTTTGGCTCAGTTTGTAGTGACCCTACTTGCTGTGCCAGCGGTCGCGGGTTCGAGTCCCGCTGGGGGCATTCATTTGTGTGATGAGCACGAATATTTGTACTCCTTTCGTGGGTGTTTATATATTTTATAATATGTATCTGGTATCCATAACACAAGCGTCGTAGCTTATCATGGAACACTAGATGGTGCTGTCTGTTAATGTCCTAACATATTTATTTCATGTTTTTTTAATTATTTACTAACAACAAAAATAGCTTAATTAACAATCTTTATTAACAAGCGTTACTATTAATTGCTCAGCATTTACTCTGTCATCTAATTGCCCTGACAATTAAAAAAATCTGCACGCAAAAAGTGTAAGTCAAGGTTTATATTACAACTATATGTTTCTGAGCGATATTCTAAAGTTAGTAAACCAAAATAATCTAAATTCAATTAATATATTTTATATCATGGGTTCGATTTCCGTGTGGTGACTTTTATGCTGTGTTGAAGATTCAATGAATATGAAATAAATCATCTTGACTATTTCTTTTTTCAAGAAAAGTCTTGTATGTACAAAAATGTATATCTTTGATTTTTAAATAGCGACCCTATATTGATTTCGCATGGTTGCATTTGGGTAGTCCCAAAACTTACAGCATACGGCGTCTATTAAAAATATTTTCTGATGATACCTGATATGGCGAAACCTAAGTGGCGTGGCGGGTAGGAGGTTCAAACTAGGTTGACAAAAGTTAATTTTTATCCTTTAAAATTAGTGAGTTATGGGAGGCATAATAGAAGAATCAAGGCTTTACCGATTTAAATAGAACTTTGACTAGCAGGCAAAAGATTCAGATAAGAATGATAAGGGCTTTATATTTGTCATCGTATCACACAAGCGAAGCTGATGGCAGAAGCTAATTATATAATACTAGCGACTCCCTTCGCTCAGGTTTGTCCCTATGTTGCGTCTCCATACAAACTTTCATCTCCATTTTCACCCCCTTAAGATTTTTTCCGGATTTTCCTTAAGATTTCCGGGACAAAAATTATCCTATGTCTTTCTCAGAATCTTAAACTATCATCTTACCAAATTTCATCTAAAACGGTTCAGTAGGTTCGGAGCCTATTCGGTACAAATAAACAAACAAAAAAATCTTTCCTCTTTATAATATTAGTATAGAAGAACATACCATCCAAATACTGTTCTTTGTTGCTCAAATGTTTCTCATTTTCCGCCTGTAGATTCCGATCGGCATTCCGGAGCCACTCTCGTCTCCGTTCCTTGCATTCGTCGCACATGGCGCAGTACACTTCTAGTATTTCAGGATGATCGTTGCTCTTTGTACACCGGACACACGCGATACGACAGTTTATGATGGCCGATGAAGGAATAATACATAGCATTGCAAAAATCAGAGCTGACAACATTCTGAAAATAAGTGAACTGACATTAGTCCTACGTGACCTGATCTAGAAGTCGAAAGTTTTATTAGTATTTTAATACTACTACTGTGATGAGCACGAATGTTTGTACTCCAGTCATGGGTGTTTATATAAATAAAGACTGTCTTTTTAAAGACTGTCTTTTTTATTTACAACATAGAATATGTATGTATTTATAGTTACGAGTATATATGTGTAGTGTATGAACTACTTGGTATATGTATGTAGGTACATAACACAGGCCTCGTAGCTTGACATGGAACTAGACGGTGCTGTGTGTTAATGTTCCAACATTATTATTAATAATTTAGTCTGTACCTATAGTCTATTTTAATCTAAAATATATTTAGAATAAGTTGCCTAATGGCCGATTTCACCAACGTCACCTAAGTTTAAGGGATCCCCTAAGCATGGTTAGGGGGCTGTTCCCCCCCAACGTGCGTTCACCTTGTCGTGGTGGGGGGGCTCAGTAGCAGTAGCGAAGCTAAGAAACGCACAGGGAGGTTGCCCACTTCGGTGGGCGGTGGGATGTGGCCCTCTTCGGAGGGCGGTGTACCATGCGGGTTGCTCCTGGTACTTCTCTGATAGCAGAGTGGACTGTCGTAGTCGAATGCGTAAGCGATCCTGCGACGCCCCATTAAGACGGGGGAAGGTTTTGTTGGGTTTTAGTGGGTAGTACTGGCTGTATTACGCCGGTGAGTCTCACACGTCGTGCGTAAATGCATTTCCCAACGTTAAAAAAAAAAAAAAAAAATGGTTAGGGGGCTGTTAGGGGACGGTTTCTGTTTCATCGACAGTTAGGGGTCACCTAAATGTTAAAATGCCACCTAAATATAGGTACTAGAAATACGGGCTCTGACGATGGTAAAAATAAAAAAATTTGGTAAAAACGGGCTTTTTAGTGCTCTACGCTGTTTGCTTATGTAAAAGTTAGATGTAAATACTTATTTCGTCAATTATACTTAACGGTATTATTTACATTTTTTTTTATATTTTTAAACTTGATTGCTATTAATTATAAAGTATTTATTTAATAAGCTTATCTAAATGTCTTATTTCAGAATAAAACTTTAATTAAGCTTTAATTAAAAGTTTATCAATTTAAGAAGAGAAACAAAAAATCGATTTAATATCACTCTAGACTTTGAGTCGGTATATATTTGTTATATTTGACGTCATTGTCAGTTCTTTTGGTAGTTTACTGTCGTTGGTAGCAATTTTTAGCACTGTATATTACTGTTACAGTTATTATCTTTGACAAATGGCTTTTTTATGTTTAAATAACAAGTTTCAACGAAAATGTGTCATTTTGTTTATTGTTTCATGTCAATCTACGTTCCAGGCATTACGTACAGTTCAATCTATTCACGAATTACTTATAACCCGGGCGATCACGTCTTTTTCGTAAAATCGTGTTGTTTCATAAAAGATATAAACTTACGTTTTTTTTTCAGATAAGACATAGATAAAGTTAAAAAGCAAAACCTTATCTTAATACAAAAATTTGATCCAAATCGTCAAAGTCAAATTTTATATACAAGAATTGAGAATTTAATAAATAACTAAATACCATAATATAAGATATTATGTTGTACTATAGTTTTATTAGTAACTAATAAATTTCATCCAAATTCTTATTTGGTTTTTTCTGTACATCCAATTTTGTTTTAAAGTTTCTAGCGAAATATTTTCTAGTGTTACCGAAATACACTGCCGCTATACCAGATGGTCATTGATTTAATATTGAACAGCGGACTTCCCTACTGAAGTGAATGTAACAATAATCTCAGTACTAAGTTTGACCAAGTCCTTCCGACCATTTGCCCGACGTTATTAGGACATAAAGGAGACTTCAACTCGTGTCTTTGCCAACTCGACATAAGTGAAACCGCAAAGGTGGAGTTTATTTTGTAAGATTAAGCTTTTTGCTTAACGGTTAAGTTTGATTTTGCTTAAAGTTATAGGTTAATATTATAATCCAAATAAAAACATGGTTCGAGATGGAAGGATATTACTTTGTAGCAGTTGTTTGTTTAAAAACCGGTTGTTTTACGCTATGCTTATATTATTATTATTACATTTAAACTCAATTTTATTTACTACTTTAATACAATTTAATACTAGGTTTCGTCCAGGCTTAAACCATTATCCATGTTACCTTTGTAAGTAACCATGTAGTTCGTGTAATACACACATTTAATAAAATAAACGATGTCGCAGTAAAATCAAAAGTTTTCTTTTATTAATTTATTTATATATATTATGTACTAGCGACTCACCCTCGCTTCGCTCGGGTTTGTCCCTAGCTTGCTTCCCAATACATACTTTCATCCCCATTTCCACCCCCTAAAGGGATGATTTCCGAGATACAAAGTATCCTATGTCCTTCCCAGGGTCACAAACTATCTTCTTACCAAATTTCATCTAAATCGGATTAGTAGATCCAGAGATTACCCCCTACAACGTCACAAACTCACAATTCACAAACTTTACCTCTATAATATTATTAGTACCTATAGATATGTACTCCTGGGAATATCTTTGTGTAGTTAAATGAAACACTGAATAATAATGAACAGAGTGTTGTAGAACCAAACAATATTTAAAAAAAAATGTTTTAAAACAGAATATGAATATTAATAAAATTCTCATTACTGTGATAAGTAAACAAATGTCAATAAATAAATATAGCTAATGGATTTATTAATATATAATATCTCAATAATAGAAAATAATATAGCATTATTTTTATTCTTCATATTTTCTCCTCAAAAAGTGGAAATTGACGACTTACATACATAATATGTACTAAAATTTTCCTAATTCTTTAAAGAAACGAAGCGATCTGTATGTAAAAATAACAGAGAAGAGAAATTCGCTACAATTGCTACATATTTATCTGAGCCACTAAAATTACAGCGTGAAACGATTTGCTAAATGAACAAAATATTTTTGTTACGTGCTATATCCGTTTTAATTCGATTAGCCGTTATCACGTAATCGAATCCACGACCAGGAAAGATAATAACATGCACGTTTAAGGGCAGACACTCACATAACCTTACATTTATTTTTTTAAAGTTGGTTAAAAACAATAGTTTTCGAGTAGGATCGCATGGCCTACCTGTAATCCAATCAACGGATTAGTTAGACCGTCAGTGTGTTCGTCCAAGCTTAAAATAAAACTATTTGATCGAGCACTAAAAACCTCATATTTGTTCACGCCTGAATTCACCAGTTTTATGTATCGAAATTGAATGAATGTGTACCATAGGTGGTATTTGCTTTACGGAATGCCATAAAATCTAACGACTTCGCAGCGAAATAACTCGCTCGAATATTAGATGGTATGGCGCAAAAACGTGCAGAAAGTTTTGTAACGTATAACTCGTTGTTGTTATTTTGATGTTTATTTTAACAAAAATATTCTTCTATTTGACTGTTCTTTTCATAACGAGGTTTTCTCGTATATGCGACTAGCGATGTACCCTCGCTTCGAGCGTTCCTAAATGTCTTATGCCTGATTTCACCAACGTCACTTAAGTTAAAGGGATCCCCTAAGCATGGTTAGGGGGCTGTTAGGGGACAGTTTCTGTTTCACCGACAGTTAGGGGTCACCTAAATGTTAAAAGGCCCCCTAAATTTAGGTGCTCGAAATATGGCCTTAAAGACGATGGTAAAACGAAATTTAATTTAGGGGCTAGTTAGTTTAGGGAAATTTTAAGCTAGGGATTCCATACGTAGGTGGTAGCTTATGAGTTGTTGGTGAAATCGGACATTAAGGTCTTAGCCTACGTCTCCTAGCATATTCCAGGTCGTATTCTATCTGTGTACTACATCTAAATTCGTTTAACCTTATCATACAAACCTTCGCAGTTATAATACTACATATTAAGCACTTAGGTATAAGAACTCTGATATCTGATTAGCCATCTATGAAAACCTTTGAACTAGTGATAAATTAATGTTAAAGTTTATGTGTGCTTGTATGTCTACGTCATAAATGCCAGTAGTTATACGTCACAAATGTTAGGTAAGAGTGTACGATATATTATCGCATGCGCTGACCTTTTGCTGTCGGAGAGCGCATTTTGTATTTTAAAAATTATTGCACGATAAAAATGGGGTAATCTAGATGGAGTTATATTTTTAACTGACTTCAAAAAAGAGGGCTCACTTTGTCTGTATTTATTGAGTTATGTATGATATATCATTCAAAAAAATAAACATTTTTTATATAGGTAGGTATGTTTTTTTTTGATTAATAAGTTATACCTCAAGTGATTTCTCATAAAAGTTTCAAATAAAATTCCATTTCTAAGTTGTTAGAACTTTAAAGTAGTTTTGCAGTGTATTTTTTCCTTAAAAAATTGATAATAAACGATACTTATGGCTTGTTATGACTGTTATTATTTGTTTAAAAGCTCTGGGAATACAAAAAGTTTATGTTAACCATACAAGTGAAAATGCCTTTAGGTAATTTTAGTTATAAACGTTTAAAGAGAGAATCCCATCACAACTAGCCCAGCTGTATTAATATATATATACATATATATATATATATATATATATATATATATATATATATATATATATATATATATATATATATATATATATATATATGTATATATTAATTGATATTAATATAGATTTTTTTAATACAGTTATACAGAAAATAGCAATAAATGTTATATATTATAATTTACCTGCCGCAATCTCGTTTATTATAATTTCATGCAGAAAAATGAGGAAGTTCATTTAAAAAAAATGTAAATTAAAATCTTTTAAAAGATAAGCAGAGACTGTTTTGTTAATTAAAGGAGCTTTATAATGAAAAAGATTTACATTCTCTAAGATTCCGACATTATGAAATATAATGTTGTAAAATACAAGAAAGTCGCGCGGCACGGTCTTCGGACTTAGTGTAGGGGATCAAAGTTTTGTGTTTTAAGTATGAAAATTTATTGTACGCTTCATTTTGCGGATTATTATAAATAATATTATAAATATGAGTGTGTGAATGTTTGAATGTTTGTTACTGAATCATGCACAACGGGTCGACGGGGTATTTTGTAGTTTATCTAGTGTGCATTATGTAGGAGTGGGTCGTAGATTACTTGTTATGATGGTGCATTTAGTGGTGGCCGTGGGTAAAAGAAAATTAATAGTAAAAATATTTTTTTTTTTATTGAACCTACTAATAAACACAGCTTGCTGGAAATGCTACCACTGCGCCACGATGTTAAATTTTCTTATTAACTTACAGCATTCGTCAGCGCCTATCATCTTGTTTAAATCAATACCGGTTTCATCGAGATCCAAATCAAGTTTCGCATTTCCTTTTGTAGGAAATACAATTTTGCGCTCCCAGCGTGAGACGACTGTCCCCCGCTTATAAATATACAGGGGAAAATTCCTAGAAACGTCTCGTTGTATGAAAATTACGAAGTTTTGTTTGGGTTTGTTGCAAATTTTGTTTGGAAATGTTACTCTGAAGACATTACCATTAGGCATTAGTGTAAGGAGGTTGTTTGTTGTTATTAAATGTTTGAGCGCCGGTGGCGACTGCGACTGGCGTTGTCCGTATGTATTTGGCGCAGAGAATAGAATCTATTGTTTTGTATGTATGTTGTATAAAGGCTGCTATTATTATATATAAATGTGAAAATATGTTTGTTTGTTACTCTTTCGCACTGAAATTTAATACACATATACCTACACTACTAGCTTTTGCCCGCGGCTTCTCTCGCGCCAAGTTTGATTTTTAGATTATTTACCTCTTTTCACTCCCTGACGGGGTTGTTTTTGAAGAAGCACGAAACACGTGTTTATTTATTTATTGACAGGAGTAATCCTGCGAATTTTCGAATTGATACATCTCTCTTAAATGATTTCTCCATACAATTTTTGAACCCCCGTTCCAACTCTTTGAGGGATGAATTTTCAAAAATCTGTTCTAAACAGATGCCTACTTCATATTATTAACTGTACCTACGTGTATCAAATATCAACCCAATCCGTTAAGCTGTTTTGAGCTACGCGTTGATAGATCAGTCAGTCCATTGGACCCAGTTATGCAAAAAAACAGTCATGTGCGTAAAAGTACCAACAGATTTATAAGCATTTTATAAAAAAAAAATTATAAAAAATAAACAATACTTAAGTATATAAATATTGTTCAATTTTAAAATAACCAGAAAAACAAAACAACCCAAGTGCAACTATCGACAGAAAAAGGCTTATAACTCTTTTGGTACTTTTACACACATGGCTGTTTTTTTGCATACTGGGTCCAATTAGGGTCGGCATTTATTAGTAGGTACATATGCACTCGTATATACAGATAATCTATTAATATACGGTGAAGGAAAACATCGTGAGGAAACCTGCATGTCTGAGAGAACCTAACAAGTTTATGAAAGACATGTGAAGTCCGCCAACCTGCACTTGGCCAGCGTGGTGGACTATGGCCTGATTCCCCTCGTACTGAAGGGAGGCCCGTGCCCAGCAGTGGGACGTTAAAAAGGGCTGAATACATACAGATTATCTGAAATAATACGTATTATAGTGGTACCTAGGAATGCACTTTTATTTTGGCAACACAGACAAAGAGATATTTGTGCGGAATTAGTTTTTAAAAATATGTAGTGTGATGGTCACCTCCCTCTACAGCTTTGAACTGAACGCATCAAGCATTTATTCATAAGCTCGAGTACGCGCGCCCACTGGTCAAGTTAATCGACGTATTATGATATAGGAACAAATATACCCACTTATTGAGAATGTTGTTCATATACTTTAAACTTTTTTAACTGACTTCAAATAGAGGTACTCGAGTGGTTTTTTGTTTGTATGTTATGCGATAGCTTTGATAATTATTGTAATCTTACATCTTACTACTAAATTAATGCGAAAGTTTGGATGGTTGGGTGTTCGTTACTAAATCACGTAAGAACGGATGAACGGATCTGGATGTTTGGTACAGAGATAGATTATAGTCTGGAATAGCACATCGGCTACTTTTTATCCCAAAAAAATGCACGGTATCCGTGGAATAGATTTGTTTTTGTTTTTCACTAGAGACGAAACGGGACGGGAAAGGCTCACCTTCTATAGTAAGAATGGATTTTTTTTTGTTTAATAGCTATTAACGAGATTTAGTGTTGTCAATAAAAAAAAATATTATGCTCGAATTTCGACCACTGGCCGAACACTAGTTACAATAAAGTCTACCTCCAAGGGATGGTTTTTATCTAGGGATGGTATTTATCGATTTTGTGATTTTTAAATCGGTGTACATGTTAAATAATAAATCGGTGTACATTTTAAATAATACGACGAAAACGTGTTGAATGTCTATTGTAAATTATAATTAAGTTTTGAGGAATTCGTTTATTTATTTTCCCTCTCATTAATTCTTAAAGTCGAGGAATTTTCACGTCATCTTAACGCCATATCCTTGTCAAGTGTCGGTTCTGATTTCTTTAATTAAACAGTGTCTGATAAGTTTTGTTCTATTTTGATTTATTAAAATAATATTATTTGTTTTGTTCTTGTTTTTGCAAATTACACGTGTAATAAGGAAAAAAAGTTATTTAAATATATTAAGACCTACACGAGCTATTAGTTAAAACCAATAAATCAACACGGAAATTATACGTTAATGCTGCCATCAGTTCTCAGAATGTGCCTCAGTCCTAAAGGACTAATGATAGAAAAACAGTAATAAATCAATAATATAAAGCATTAGTTTTGATACGATTGAGAAGTTAATAAAATAGATAAATTATAATATTTTATCTGAGCTTAAACTAGTCTAGATCGTGATCTATAGATATTGACGATGTTTTACTTCTAAGTATACTTATTTGTAGAGTCCTGTTGTACTTAATTAAGTATGAATCCCATAAGTTTATATCAATTGAATATCAGCCTTCATTACATATAGTATTTACCTATGGGAAACAGTTCTATGAAAAAATCATATAGATTTTTTGTATATAGAGTTTTTGTACGTATTAAAATATTTCATTTTGTTTAGTGAGCTAAGTTATAATTTACTTAATTGATGAACTGCTTTTATTTGAATGAACTATACCTTGTATATATATATTGCTAGTAATGAGTGTATATCGATTTATTCATTGTTGGTTACTCCATCGATTGTGGGTTGTGGTGTGCGCCCTTCCATGGTTTATCTATTGAATCTGAACCCTTACCATGACACCATAATATGACTATCGTAAATGTAGTTTAATGATGCCACCTTCACCGTTATATTGTGATATTAAAGCCATAATACTTCATTTATATGAGCGGTTACATTGTTTTTAGTTTAACTAGTTATTTAAACTCGCTTTTATCGTAGTTTTTTTATATTTCATCGAAAATGCTGATGTTAGGTAGGTATATATATATATATATGTAATGAAAGGGTTTTATCCAAATAAAATTTTAATATATTTGGAGGAAAACAATATTGTGACTGTATCTCAACCTCAAATAATGGAAGACGACAAAACAAAACAAACAAAAAAGATAATGTAAGATACGTTTGTATCAACAAATGTTTTTAGATAGTAATGAACATATTCTGGTGCTTACTTTGCGAAGTAAAATCTCGTAGCGTTAGTAAATATATTATATTTATAAGGTTCTACAAGATATTAAAGATATAATATTAAATTAGTATACTCGTGAACTTTTAATGCAACTATTTACGCGCTCGCTAACGACTACCGAGTGACGCAAGCGATCTATAGTAAGGGCAAAGATGTATGAGATAAGATTATATCCAGCTCGACCTGTAACCTTTATGTACATTATACAGTAATTACTTTTTATGGGCGGTGTTTCAGTACTGTACAGTTACACTGTAAGTGATTGCGGAATCCATTTTGAAAATAACATATCGTATAATAACTTATTATAAGATATTACCGATCGATAGATCTATATTTAGATCTAGTATCTAGATTTGATGATCTATGGTTTTAGTAAAATATTTTTGTAATTATCTCAGTCTCGTTTTGAACAGACTAATATCCCATGAGAAATACTTGGTATGGTTGTATTGAGGTGAAAAGTGTCCTGTAAGTTTATCCAGAGCATGATCTATCAATGTACAAAGTTTCATCAAATTTAATTAACAAAATGCAAATCGAATCAAAATATACTTTATTCAACTGAATATAGACTTTACGATCAATTTTCTTTTTAATTTAAATTAAATCTCAGTATGTACATAAGTCCGTGAGAAATGGAAAGCAGTTTTTTTACAGATGAGAAACTCAACAGTTGTTATTTTTAGATGTTTGTTTACAATATTGCAACACAATAATTATATATGTATGTACTCATCCTACGTGAGTATCTGAAAACTAGTTGATATTTATGATATTCTTAGATATTAATAGAGTGTATTGTTGGCAGGTATCAAGTGTCCAGTATGCAGCAAGTTCGTGTTGCCGGACGACATCGAGTGCCACCTCGTCATGTGCCTCACGCGGCCTCGTCTCTCGTACAATGGTGAGGAAGCATACTTTAAATGTTGTTATAAGTGTCTATTGTATACAGGTTTATTGTATTGACGATTGTGTCGCAACTGCCGCGTCACGGCGTATAGTGGAGGACTGTGTGGACGTGCCCGATGTGTCTATACATGTAGATTCGATATTGTACGGCGTATTTTATTGACTCGTTTTTATCTGTAGGTTTTTGTAAAATGATTTTTATTAATTTTTTAATTATCTTAATATTGGTTTCATAAACGAAAATATTTTCAAGTGATTTTGGAGTCGTGTATCTTATTTATTAAACACCGCGAGAGCGGAACTAAAGGAAGAAAATAGTATAGGTACAGACAGGTACATAGTAGAATGAGATATCTTTATTCTCTCTCTCTCTCTCTCTAACCAGATAGAAAATGGATATGATACACTTACAGATATACTTATTGTAACTAAAATGTTAATGTGTTTTCAAAAGCTGCATTAATGTTTTCAGAGGACGTGCTGAGCGACTCGAAGGGCGAATGCGTGATCTGCCTCGAGGAGCTCTCCGCGGGCGACACCATCGCGCGCCTGCCCTGCCTTTGCATCTACCATAAAGGGTGAGATATACATATTTAATAATAATGGCCGATCGATTTCGACCACCGCGGCCATTCTCACTGAGACTAGCCATCTGAGGAAAATATTCATCAAGCACAACATTCTATTCCTCTCACTGCGGTGGGACGACACGAGACACGACCAGTGAGACCAGAGATCAGGCAGGACTGACGCGATAAGTGTTCTACCTCGGCATTGGATGTAACACTGTCAAATTCCCAACTCCGGGCTGTTACTGAGAATTTGTTGACAGAAAATCTTAAGATTTTTTATTTGCTATTAATACTAAATAACTATACTATACTAAACTTGGCTCGACTCAAGGCTCGAACCCAAGTCCTCCGGATATGAAGCTGTAAATGCTAGCTACTAGACCATCGAGGCAGTTACAATACATACATATTCATACATGATATATACAAATGCTAAGAATCTTAAAATTTGTATGACCCATCAAAATATTATTCGAGTTGGAATTTAATTTGCGACTTTGTTACGAGTTTTGAAAGTAAGCTTGACAATATTTAAGCGTCTCTAATGTAAGCTATAAAAACGATGGAGGTAAATTCTGTGCTTGATTGTCAAAAAGCTTGTAGCTAAGCTTAAAAAGCTCGATAAACAAAAAAGATTGTAAGCTCTAAAATGATAAGGGTTTTCAAAAACTGACTTTATTCAATATTATACGTTGACAATGTATAGTCATTATGATTTCTTTAAAACTTCTTATCTGCCATACATTTTCTCACATTGTAATGTAGATAAAGTATCGTCACAGTTTGAGACAAGCAATGGCAAAGGCCTCTAACTAGGTCGACTATCGCCAGGATTATGTCCATCTTCGCTTTGTATTTAATTTCATTATTGTGACACCAATAACTTTGTATATGTGATAAAAAATATTCTTGTTGTTTAATCAGTATTCATTACCTGAAGCCCGAAATCTACTTATCTACATATAAAAACTATATTTGTTATTATAATCTCTGTCGTATGCCTCAATTTAAAAGTAATAATTTTATGCTCAATTTGTTACGTTTCTATTTCCAGATGTATAGACCAATGGTTCGAAGTGAACAGATCGTGCCCCGAACATCCCGGCGATTAGTGGCCGAGCGTTCTCCCTCAGGAGCTAGGGACGCGTCGCCGCGTGGCCTGACGCGCCACGCGGTCGGCCACGGGCCACGCCACGCCAAGGCCTGGCCCGGTGAGCCACGACGAGCCCTTCGCCTCGGCCAGCCATGCCCGAAACGTGCCATTGTCGCGAGTGATAATTTTATACAATGAACAAACTGTGGCCTCAGGCCTTGTAAATATAAACTTATGCTAGTGAGATGTTTTACCATTTAATGATTAAAAAAAATAACAAAGACAATTATAGTAAACGCTAATGGGAATTTCTCGGTGGAGTATTATTCATGAAAATTTTACATTGTTATCGTTTCGTTCAGCGTTTCGAGATTCGTTTTTGTATTATATAACGTGGCGGGCGATTATGGACGATTCTAGCAAGCTGTCTGATTAAATGTTATGAATTTATTTTTATTATGCTTTTAAATCAGTAGCGGTAATTTTTAATTATATTACATAAATATTTCGAAAATATAAGTTTCCCACTTTTTTCATAATCGATTATGGAAATTAGTCATTCGATTTAAGAATCGTTCATAACCGTCGGTCTGTCGCGTACTGTATATTATGTATAGCGAGGATTTGTGTTGCAGTGAAGGAGCTCTACGACCTACATATCTGTTCCGTAGCTTGTATAATATATAATTTGATCTTTTTCATCTTGATAATAAAGTTGATTTGTTTCTAAATTTTCTAAACTTGTTTTATTTGTACCCCTTTAAAATAAAGCAATTTTATAACATAGAATAATACTTTCTTATTTTACGTGAATATTTGCTATTTTAAATTCATCTATAAGCGGATTATTTTGGGTTTCAGTAGACTTATCGGGATAGATTCCGTGACCATGGTGACATGTAAAATCGAAAAGACGAAAATATAGTATTTATAATATAGATATAGAAATAAGTTCTAATCTATAGAATATAATCTATAAAATAAATGAAAATAAGTGTATTCGTAGGAGTCAAAAGGCAAAATCAGAACCCTAATTTGGTCATGTATATCTGTCCGTATGTCACAATCATGTAAGTCGGAGACTATACGGAGCTACATTGCTGACAATTTGAATTGATGCTGTTTCACTGAATTAATTATTGACAATTTCTTCATCAAATTACTAAAATTAATTGGATAATAGTGGTATTATCAAACATGTATAATCGTATGTGGTAATAACGGCAATCTATGCCACCAGGGTGCTCGAGGGCGATACCATGGCCGTGGCCGTCGAAACGTTGGGAACAAGGTATTTTACCACTTAATAATAACAATAATATGTTGGGACATTGACACACAGCGCCATCTAGTAGTTCCATGGTAAGCTACGAGGCTTGTTTTATGGATACCAGATAGTTGATACACTACATACATAACTTTAAATATATACATATTATAAAATACAAAAATTCGTCTCATCGCACAAATGAATGCGGGATTTTAACTCGCGACCGCTGGTGTAGCTAGTAGGGTCACTACAAACTGAGCCAACCACTTACGTACACGCGTTTAGTCTCGTAGTGTCATTCTTATATAATAGTGCATTGATATACAAAAACTCAAGATGCACAAATAGCATCTGGAAAGTGTCCTCAAAAAGAAGCGCACACTTCGAAATTGAATTGCGCTGTTTTTAAATCTCTTTTATTTATTGCTTTTCGGTTGACAAAATTAAAACTCACGTTGTTTCTTTTAAAAAGTACTCTATGTGGTGTGCGTAAGTTTGAATTTGTGTTTAGAAAATTAGAACTTTCGATTTTTAAATGTTATTTTTTGGTTTGACTTAACATCTCATGTCGATGCCGCTTTGTGAAGAGATATCAGTGAGAAAATGTGTAGGTATCTACTTTTTTTATATTAATGCAATAGCGATAATTCACAAATGTCACAGGAGTGGAAAAAATTAAACACAAGCGTGTGGGATATCTCTGGATAGGTCTTCATGTTTGTGACTTTTTTATCCAAGCCAATAGTTACCGTTTTAAGTTATAGAACCCCTGATGTTCGAGTTAGATTTATACTTGCCTGATTTTATATTTAGTTTTAGCTTTATTTTATCTATTCAAAATAATTTAAAAAATATAGACTTTATACTTGATTCAGTAATTAGAAAATAAAACATCAATTACATATATTACCGATATAATTTACTTATAGGAGATACTCAACGTGTTTTGTGCAAGTTACGCTCTCTTGACAAACAATGAACCAATTTCTGTCATGTTTCTGTTTAATGTAGGCATACTTTGAGGATTGGTTTATGTAAATTCAAAGAAAAAGATATTCTCGCAGGTGGAAATAAATAACATTTAATAAATCTGACTGAGAAGCCAGTGTATATTACTTTAGTTATTATTGTACTTTACAAGTCATGAAAAAAAAATCCTTTGCTTCCTCTTTTTAATAAATTTTATTCTCTCTATATTTTTCTGAATAATCAAAAATATATTTACGACTGCGTAATACAAGCAAAAAAAATTTATTGAAACTACATTATAATTATCATTAATTCCAAATATCTATTCAACAGTATCAAATATCAGGGGTTGCGAAATGAAACGAGACATAATTTTTATTTATTTATTACAACAACAAGTCCTTGTGCCTACCGCATGAAGGCGCGGTGCCGCGCGCCGCGCTGCAGCCGCGCGCCGCCCCACCCCATGCCGCCTGCGGACACACACACACGCACACACATTACTATTAACTTATTATATTGCACATAACAAGAATATAATTGAACTTCTGGCAATGTAACTTACAGACAATAAAAAACCAGAAATAATGATAAAATAAAAACTTAATAAAATCCGACTTCCAGGCGCTAAAATGTAAAAAACAACTAAACGGAGGTTTTCATTTAGAATAGTACCTAAATCCTATATCCTAAAGTAACCTAATCAGATATTTTCAAAGTAGGTGCCAGCCGATTGCAAAGAAAATCTAATATATTTTGATACATAAAATGCATCACAAATTATAATATAAATAATTATATCATAATATTTTAACTATATAAAAGTTCATATATATTTACCTTTTAAACATGCTTAAATGATTGGTACATGAAAATATCTGAGGTATGAAACCCGAGATTTGAACATGCTTCACTGGGTTTTCCAAGCAGTTACAATAAACACATGGCTAGTAACTTATATTATATTTGTAGTATGTACTCACCCATCAAGTACTGGGAAGTGGGTGCGAAGTGTCCGAAGTGTTGCCCGCCCATCTCCCACGCGCCGCGCCCTCTGCTGGTAACACTTGTATTACACATTGAACTGATATCACAGATAATACAATACTACATTAGTATGAATACCACATCCAATACAAACAAATCCACGGTCTTAGTAATTCTCTGGTCTATTCTTCGGGATATGTTTGCTCAAATAGACGATAGATGGCGTTACTTTGCAGATTTCCAGACCAAATTTTATTTTATAAAATCTGTACATACTTATTAAATATGTACTAATTATCAAAATTAATTTTGCATTAAATATAACATATTTCAACGACTTACTATTTTTAGCTCCGTTAAGTTTCATAAATTATAAACAACGCCATCTACGAGTATGCAAACACATTAATGATGGCCTAATGATTAATTCTTCAATAACATAATATATTTAATGGGTAAAATTACGAAAATTGCTTTATTTTATTACCCTTTACCTTCGAAGGTTTATGAGTGTTTGTTACTTCAATAAGCTGTATTTTCTCAGCTTTAAAGGCTAAACGAAATATGATGGATATAACTTGGATTTACTCGAAGCATTCACTCACAAATTTTCCCATTTATAAATAATAGCACAATATAAAAATCCACACGTTGATCGATCGATTATAAGATTGCAAGTGGTCTGTGAGACCACTCATCGGTACTTATGTAAATCAAATAGTACGTCGGTTCTTAAAGGTTAAGGAAAATGCTGTCAAAAATCAAATTTCAATGTCAAAAAATACCCAATTTTCTCTTAAATCGGTAAAATATATATAAGAGCGACTCACAGATGGCGGTAGTGCGCGTGCGGTGCGCCGAAGCGGCCGCGCTCGGCGCCGGCGCCGCGCCGCGCGCTGCTGGTGGAGGTAACAATTGTATTGTAATATTGTGTTGATTGTAATTATTATATATTTTGAAGATACATTTCGGTCAGTTTGCAGTGCAGTATTGCTGGGCCAGCGGTCGCGGATTCGATTCCCGCTGGGGGCATTCATTTGTATGTTGAGCACGAATGTTTGTACTCCAATGGTGGGTATGTATATTTATTATATGTATGTATTTAAAGTTATATATGTGTAGTGTATTAACTACCTGGTATCCAAAACACAAACCGTAGCTTACCATGGAACTAGATGGTGTGGTGAGTGCCCAACATATGTATTTATTTATTTTATTTCTCATTTAATTACATTTAGTGTTTTAATATATTAGTTTACACAACACTTTCTTTGATTAACGCGAATATTTGATATTTAAATAAAACCATTGCCTTTGTAAATGGAATTAAAAATGATGATGATGATGTTCTCCTAGCCGATTCCGGCCACGGCGGCCAATCTCAATGAGATTAGCCAACTGCGCAGGAGATATTATAGTGCTCAAGTGTACGCGCAGACACAACGTGCACTCTCTATTCCTGTCACTCTCATACTCCGGTGGGACGACGCGAGACACGACCGGTGAGAGTTAAGGCGCAGGACCGACGGCTTTACGTGCTCTCCGAGGCTCGGGGGTGAAACACCGCCAACTTCCCAACTCCGGGCTGTTACTGAGACTTACTATACAGGAAGACTCAATAACTAAACTTGGCCCGACCCGGGACTCGAACCCAGGACCTCCGGGTGTGCAGCCGTACATGCTAGCCACTACACCACCGAGGCAGTCAATTAAAAATAATCTATATATAAATAGGCAAAGGCAAAACAATTCAGTACCTTTGCCTCATCTGTTTGTCAACTGAATTTTTTTTGTTTAGTAGTTTTGACGCGCGTTACCTATAAAAAAATTTGGAAACAGTTTTTTTTGTATATAATATATTATAGATATATTATATCTATATGAATTTTCCCCTTAATATGGTCGAATTTGAACCACTGGGTAAAACTAGTCAAAATATTTCCGCTGAAAACTAAGAAAAGATAGTTTAAAACCTTATTACATATTCTTTTTCTTATTTCTAAACTTAATTGAGATTAAGACTCTAATAGTGTTTTATAATTGTGAACCTATCTTGTGTATGTACATTGAAATCTATAGTTTAAATGATATGTGAGTTTGTGTATATTAGGGTAGAGCAAAAAAAAAATTGATTCTTTTTTTTAGCTTGAGGGTGGAATTTGTAGTTTATAAAAAAACAAAATTATTAAAATAAAAAAAAATATTCAACATTCTGAGGTGGCCCACTGATTTAAAAAAAAAATAACTATTATAAATCTTTAAAACATTTAAGACTTGACGAATACATATAATAATTTTTTATTCAACTCAACTATTTTATGTTGGGTAACTTATAAAAGTTACAAATTCTACTGAAAAAAAAAATAAAAAAAAAATCTCTCCATCCTAATGTATATTTATGTAGTCATGTCTGTCTATGTTAGCTTAAACTAATAACAAAAAATAATGTTTTCATCAATATTGTATCTGTATCTATGGTGGTGGTGGTGTGTGTGTGTGTGTGTGTGTGTGTGTGTGTGTGTGTGTGTGTGTGTGTGTGTGTGTGTGTGTGTGTGTGTGTGTGTGTGTGTGTGTGTGTGTGTGTGTGTGTGTGCACGTACCGCGGCTGCGGCGCGTAGGGGTTGTGCAGCGCGGTGAAGTCGTCGACGTGCAGGCTCGGCGGCCGCGACGTGTTGGGCGGCCGCGAGCGGAACGCGTCGGCGCCGCCCTCCGCGCGCACGCGGCTCAGCGCCACTGCCGGTGCACACAATATATACGTTGTAATGGCTATTAGACTAGACTTTATTTTGATTTAAGATATTTAAGTTTATTAATTGTCTCAATTCAAAATAAAGTAATTATCATCTCAAATCAAGATTTGAGGTAAGTAAAATAATTAAGTTGATTTTTATCCATTAAACTTAATCATTTGAAATATTGAATTTGAATTGAATTTTTACTCCTACTTTGTATACACCTTTACCTGCCGTTGCACTTGATGACTTTTTCTTAACGCGAATGGACTATAACAAAGTACTCGTGTGTAGGAGACATATAGTGAAGCGCGTTTGCGCGCTTACACAAGTTCCCTCTCGATTTCTTTCACTCTCAAAATCGGATGGGACGATACTTCTATAAGACTAGCGACGTACCCTTAAAAGTAACCTAAGTTACTCCTTATAACTTCAGCTCTCTGGCAGTGTCAATCCAAGCAAGTCCCGTCGAAATCAGTCCAGCCGTTTCGGAGATTAACCGAAACAGACTGACAGACAAAAATTAAAAAGCAAATGTTTTTCTTATAAGTACCGTATACAATTTCATATGTATTTAGTAAAAAGTTGTTGTTTTGACATTACAAACAGAATATACTTCAATTTTATTTATCTGTATAGATACATGTAATCTGAGTGTGTGTGTCTGTGTGTCTCTCACCGGCGGGCCGCTTGTCGTCGGCGGGCAGCGCCTCGGGGCGCGCGTCGAGGCAGCCGGCGAGGCGGCGCACGGCGGCCGCCAGCGCGTCGCCGCCGCCCGCCACCAGCGCGTTGGCCACCTCCGATATGTCGCACGACATCTGCACACACAAACATATTCAAGTGAAAACTTCTTTAGCTCCGTTGTGATTTGAAACTCGATGAAACGAAAAAACATCATTAAAAAGAGACAAACATATACATCTATAGAATTCGACGTGAGAGAATGAGATAGAATTATATAGTGCTCCCTATATTCGCGGTCTTCTCTTTGTGTAAAAATGTAAAATAATTTTAAAACTTGGTATAAATATTATCATAAATAATCTCTACAATTATCCTACTCCTGAAATTCTACATTCGTCTCATTATCTTGGAAGTTTACTTTTGAAGGTTTCACTTCTACCGCGTGTGAATTGCACACTTTTTTTTAACATAATCTAGTCTTTTTTTAACGTTGAGAAATGTGTTTACACATACCACCTGTATACATACAGGTGGTTATGTGAAACTCACCAGCTGGAAAAACCAGTATTACCGAATAAAACCCAACAAAATCTCCCTCGTCTTAATGAGACGTCGCGGGATCGCTTCTGCACTCAACCACAACGCCCCGACTGCAGGTCAGACGAAGCAGACCACAGCAACCATGATAATAACACAAGCACTATCCTAAATTCTAGTAATATTATAAATATTAACGTATATGTATCGAACACATCTCATTCATTTACAACTCGAACTCAATTTTTTAACTTTTTTAAGATTCACTCAAAAATCCCTTTTAGCTTCACGCACACACGTAATTTTAAGTCCAACTTACCAATTCCGTGTCATTCACATCGTCTTCCCCACTAGCAGCCGGCACATTTAACCAATACCCAGTTGTGAGTCGCTCATCACTGGAATCCCCTATTATGTATATTTGTCTAGCCGCAAACTGCGCAACGAGGGGTTCAGGGGCAGGTAGCAAGGGGTCTAATATCTCTGATTCCTCTATAGTTTTGAGTTTTTGCAGATTTGTTATTAAAAAGTTTGCGTGTGAAAGTGCATCTTCATCAGAGTTTCTTTCCTGAAAATTTTAGAAGTCACATTGTAGTTATTAAGCCTATAATTGCGGAAGATATTATGCTTTTTTAATTTAAAATGAGTAATTACATGACTTTGTCGGAGTTTATTTGTAAAAAATCAAACAAACTAACAAAACAACAAATTAAGGCAGTAAGGTGTAATAACACTTGTCTTAAAATATACACACAACTAACCTTTAGAACTTTTTCCAAGCTCATAACCGGATGATCTTCGTCATTAGGGGAGTATCCGACCATATCCGCCATTTCGCCTAAAGTTAGACTACTTTTCCTCCCAACTGGACCCTCTCCATCTTCCATTCTCAAAATCTTTACCAAATCGATGTACAAATTCAAACACTCAACCTTGTCTTCGCCCGACCCCTCTAAAGCCCATTTGAAGTATTTTCCCAAAGAATCTCTTCGCCTTGTTACAAATTTCCTGAACTGTAGGAAACCAAATTCATGTTCCGTCAAAACGAAATACGCTCGCAGCACTGATGAAGCGACCGAGCAAGTTTTCGTCGTCGATTCTAAGCAATTGGCAGTTGCATCTAGAAAGGATGCTAAAATTTCTTTATTGGGTAAAGAGTTAGCCATAACCGTGTCTGTGACACCATTTAAAGGTGTCAATGTGACTTCAGCATCACAAAACGCGGCTAACGCATGCGCTGCGTATTCCTGAGCGGCAGAATGATCGTTTGACGAACTCGATATACTCAATATATTACAAAGTGCTGTTTGTATATCATTTGCTTTAGGACCTCCAGCACTCATTGTGTATAGTACTGCACATTTAACTGGAGCGTGAGAGACTAAACACGCCAGAAAACTTAGAACTCTAGCTACACTTGTACTTGCTGGTTCTCCATCTCTCATCTCTCTCATCACAGCCCCAACCGCGGCCTTGGCTACAGTCGCTGCCGTGTTCGGAGCTAAATCAGCTATTTGGACGCAAACTCGACGCAACATGTGCACTACTGGTCGATACGTCGACATACAGATTATTTGTATCATATCTGTTAAGTCGTTAGATAAAGCGTGTAAATGTGCTGACCACATTCGTCTTTCATTCGAGGCATCTGCTAATTCTCTATCAGACGGCGCAGTTTTAGTCTGCATAGGCAAAGGCAGGGGTAATAATTCTGAGAAAATTAACAGTCCCGGAACAAAAGTGTATGGAGCTGTCATTGTATAGGAAATTACTTCAGAGCAAAGTGAAGTCCATGGACCACGACGAATAGAGTCGCCGTCGTTTGCATCATCAGCGATCGGTTGAGCATAAGCTAACAATGCTCTCACCGCGGCTTCGGCTGCCTTCGCTGCAGTTCTGTAACCGATACATCCAACTGGGAAGGCTTTTGCTATACCGTATGTCTTCAAAATAATCGGTGCAGCAGATAAATCTCGGAACCTTGGTCCTCGACAGCGAACCACTCGTGCTAACATTTCGTCTAATAGCCTCAAACAAGGTAAGAGCATTTGAGCTAGTTGCAATCCTCTGACAGATGCAAATAAAGATGTATGCATGCTTGGTTGGTCAAAATGTATGGCTAATCTATCTAATATACCCGATATATGGGCAACACCGTCGAGAGAAAACAGTTGCAGCAGATTATATTTATATTTTAATTCAACGTATTCTTCAATCGGAGACTCACAAACTATTGACACGTTTTGTTCATAATCGGATATGCAAAAATGCCGTAGGATCCGCAAACACGTCATTAATTCACCTGGCAAATCTGCCGAATGTTCCAAACTAGCTTTTAAAATTTCAACGCATTCGACTAGATCTTCTCCCGAAAGTACATTTGCTTTTTCAACAGGTTTCAAATATGGTATCACTTCTTGTAACACGCTCGACACGCTCGGTTCGAATCTGTCATGTTCTTTGGAAACATTGATTAATCTCTGTCCATATTTCTTCAAAAATGGCACATTTGCAGCATATCGAACAGCTGAAACAATTAACTCTATGGCATATCCTTTTGCTGGCGACTTTTGTTTTGATGGTGAATCATTCTTACTTTTCCCTTTCAAATCGTTTTCGAAAACCGTCATAAGACATTCGGAGTTCTCTCCCATGACTATAACGTTAGGTACCGCCGTTTTGCCGATACTGCCAAAACTAAGGCAGTACAAAGACTGTAATCTATCTATTAGTTCGTTCTCATCCATTTTCCCAACTTGTAGATCACTTATTGACTGCAAGTAGTACAAGGCTTTCAATCTATACGCAAGTTCAAGACCTACAATTTGTAGATCACTGTAATTGCTCAAAGTGCTGTCGTGAGGATATGGAGTTTCTTCAGAGTTCTGTTGACCATACGGCTGCTCCAAAATTTTAAACAGCAGTTCACTCATCTCCATATTTTTGTATAAAAATTTAAGGCCATTATGCGAGTTCACCAACTCGAAAATTAAATCGTGTATTGGACTGGTTATTACTAGATTGTTACACGTCGTCGGACACGTTAAAAGATACAAGCAAACTTCCAGAGTTCTGTGCACATCGAAAAATTGTAGCAAAATTTCATTCGAGCACTCCTTACTTATTTCAAATTGAGCTGAAACTGGTAAAAATCTTTTCGGTTGCGATAGATGGAAGCACTGCGAGCGGTACATGTAGAGTATTTCTTCAAAGGAATCGACTATAAAGTTTATTTGCGTTTCCGTAAGTTCTGCATCCTCAGTCTTATCTGCAGCTGAATTATTGAACTTCAACACTAAATCATGCAATTTGTTCAAAACTTCGTATATGTTTAGTTTTTTTATTAATGCGCTTAGAGAAAATTTTATTCTGCCCAATGGATTTGCTTGCATCATGGAAATCAAAGCTTGGTAGCCGTTCATAGGCTTTCTTGCGCTGTCACTTTGAGTTTTGTCAAATTTCGGGTACATTGTATCCTGCATGAAATTATCTATTGATTCCTTCGAGGATAGACACGCGTTAAGAGCCTTTAAGATCATCAAACGGATGCTCAGAGCCATATATTCTTTAGAATACATTTCAATCAACTGCATCGGTATATTTATGCCATTGCTTAGCAAAATTTTCATGACTTGCCCATTGTGCTCATGAGCCATCAAAGTTTCTGCGAGGCGAATACCGCATTTCATGTGGCGTATTTTATATGTAGGTTGCTGTTGAGCTAATGCGAACTCAAAATTCAGTCCAATCCTACAAAATGTCACAAGTAGATTGTATATATCGGTAAATTCGTCAGACGGTTCCGATCGTGTGTACGTCCTAAATATTCTAAGTACGATATCAGTACTTTTGCATAGATTTGTCAAAGACACGAATAGCTGCTCACATTGATGCACCCAGTCCTCTCGAGACGAATTATCGATCTCCAAAAACGTATTTGAGAAAAACTTCTGCTCTCTCTTTTTAGCGTTTGTTGTTATTTCAGCCATTTTGAACAGATCTACACTTGCGTCACATAATTCATCAAAAGTTGTGTTTGTAACGTCTTTTGTGTCATCACTTTTAACATCAGCTAGTTTAGTTATTTTATTCATATGTTTATATTTACTCCATTCTGCTTTGAATGGATTGTAGTACTTAATAATATCCTCTACACCACAATATTCATTTACGTCATATTCTACTTCCATGTAAGAATTCGCGTCTAAATCATCGCAAATGTCTTCATCTGATAAGATTGGTTCGAAGGGCTCAGCATCCATAGAGTGATCTCCTTCTAACACACGATTGGGCGAATCAATGCCTTTAGGTGTAGTATCTACTATAGGGACAGTAACTAGGGAGGTATGTTGATTTTCGGGATACGTGTTATCGACTTCTTGAGAAGGACTTCGAATCGAACTTTTGTGTCTGTAACTTTGGTGGTAAAAATCGATTCGTGGTATTTGTTTGCTGTTCCTATCATATTCCGGTGGCTCCTCAGATCGTACAGAATTAATAGGGCTAGTTTCGCCTTCTCTGGGAGACATGGGTCGTCTAGTTTCACTCGGGGGAGTCCTAGGTCGCTTTCTAGGATCATCCCGGCTAGGTGACCGACTGCCATAGCTAGAACCTCGCATTCGACTATATGGAGAGTGACGCTTTCTATCATAGGGTATCTGTTTATCGTAAGAAGGAGCTCGACGTTCGTAAGACGAACTCCTTTTGTCGTATGGAGATAGTCTCTTTTCATATGGTCCCTTCTCGTATGGGAGTTTGCGTTCATATGATGGCGCCCTTTTATCATAGGGAGAGCGAGGCTCGTAGGAACCACCACGTGATCTATCGTATGATGTTTCACGGTGACGACGGTAATCGTCCTTCTTGTACGATCCACGATCCCACTCCCTATCTCGGTCCATACTACGAGATCTCGAACGACTCATTCGATATTCGCCTTTTACAACGTAATCACGGTCGCGACTTCTCGATCTCGAGTGGAGACGCTCCAGTCGATCAATTTCTCGACTCCGATCGCGGTGACGGGAAGACTCACGGCTTCTCGCTCTATCAATTGAATGCCTCCGGCTTCTGTTATCGCGTCTCTCCCTATCTCTTTCTAACTCCATTGATCTTGGGCTGTGCCGCATTCTGTCTCCTTCTCTCTCACAGCTGATGTCTCGTCTATCTTTTTCCCACTCATTGTCTTCCATGTGGTGGTAAGTTCTTGGGTCCCTAGGATCTTTGGGAGCCTCACTGTCATAATATTCACCTCTATACATTTGGTTGTCATAGTTTTCAGGGTAATTACCTGAACTATAGGTCTCAGGATTTGAAGGCACAACATTAGTTGTATATGCCGGTATGGGATTTGATGGTTCTGGGTTCCAATCTGATGATTGTGGCACATTTGGAGGCAATGAACTGACTTCTCGGGACACTGGTCTCTGAATGTTCGGCGGAGGATTAACGGCAGCAGGTGCATCTGGCAGCACTTGTGTTAAGTTGCCATAGACAGCCAAGGTGATTGTGGTGTACCAACCTGGAAAATATTAAAAAAGTATTATCTTAATTAAAGATTACCACAGCAATGGGGGCAGGCTTGTAGAATACTTTTTTAAATATCAAATTTAAAAGATATATTAATATCCATGCAAAATACATATAAATTTATAATATTGTAAATCGAAAACTGTATTTCATTTTAAATACAAAACTATCTTATGAGATTTTTTCATGAATTTATTTTGATTTTTGGTTCCCAACATTTTGAATGCTTTACAGCAATCATGGTCATGGGAGAGACTATGATTTTAGACATCGCAAAGGGAATCATTATAATATATTTGCTATTATAAAACTTTCACAGAAAAATATTCCAATTTTAAGTGCATTTTTATATTATTACATTAGAAAAAAAACAAATGAAAACATAATGAACAAAATATTTAAAAAAATATTATGATGTTTTTATATACAAATATAAATTTTAAACCTCTAAGTACAAGTCCATCTGTAGGAATTCTTGGTTGTTCCACATTGGCACCACACTCCATATGAATTTGCCCATTCTGACAGTAATCCAAACTACCAAGGGCCTCAAATGTAGATGCACCAGGTTTGCTCAAATCATTCACAAAGAAATCTATATGAAATTTTGTAGGATTTGTGGCTCCGAGCCTTACACCTCCAGGAAAGTCACCTTCAACTCGGGCACCAAGAGGAATGATACGTATTTCTCGCACAAATACGGATTTTGGAAATTGAACCAAATCTAAATTTAGCTCCTGAAAAACATAACAATACGTGTGTAGTGTAAATATAAATATAATATATATGTAATATTTGTAAAAATGTGAGTTGTTAAAAAATAAAGTTAAATATAATGTTTTTTACTACAGCTATGATGTAATACTCATATATTCCTTGGAAATGCAGATGTTTTGAATTGATGTAATATCAATTTGTAAAAATGTAACACAATTCTATATTTTACAAGAGTAAAGAAATAGTTATAATTCAAACAGGTACCTCGCTAGTATCATGAGAAAATGTGTCAAAGAACAACAGGTCCGGTTGTTCGGTCGACATTTTGTTGGTTATCTCTTATTTTTATTCTTAAATCTATTACATCACATTACTAAGTAATAAATAACTACATACAATAATTATTTAATTTCGGCAAAACAACGCTACGTTTATGATTTTTGACAAAAACTCTGACATATGTCAGAAATCAAAATTCAGATTAAAAA